TAAGACGAGAAGAGCGGCGACGGTCTGCGTTCCACCGAAATGGGCCGGGCTGCTTAACGGGCGCGCACAACGGACGTCACCCGCGCACCGCACGAGCCCAGCAACAACCAGATCGACTGACCCAAACTACGGCTCAATCGACGCTAGCTAGCCCAAATGAATAGGACAAAGCACTCCAGGAAAAAAACGCACGCATCTCAAATCACGATCCAACGGACCAGAAACCGACTGACGTAAAAGTCAAAACTCAGCTGACTGAAAAGTAGCTAAATTGTTTATTTTTTGTTCAACACACATGGCAAATTAGTCTACCATGGCAATCATTTTTTTCGCCACGTTTTTTCTGTTGAAGTTCCCATCATCCCATTTTGAATATCTGTTTGTAAATTTATATATTAGAGGATGGCAGTTTCCAAAATTGTAATATCACATTGGTTTTATACACATTCACAACATGAAAAACTGTAATTTTCTGTACTTTGTTCCCTTTTCTTGTTCTTTTTTGTTTCTGGCATCTTCCTCCAAAAATAACTTTTTTAACTGGGCATGTAGGCCAAATAGGTGGTCGCGTTGGGCTCCTGGAGCGAACGCTCCACAGGACTGAATTCGTTCGCTGCGAGTTTCCTCGCAGACCGAACCTTTCGTTCGGGACGGGAGTGTCCCAGACCGAACGATCGGCCATTATCGACGTCATAAATTTTTCTACCCTTTTCTATCTTTTCTTTTGAAATTCCTTTTCTATCTATACTATTTGAACGCGCGTGATGGTTTTTAGGTTCCCTGAGTATCCTGCGTTATGCACTTCTCCACCAGGCGTGTATCTTTGGGTTAGTCGCTTAGAGATCGATAGACCATGTTTCTGATACCCCGGATTCTATATATCCGGTAGGTTGTTGTTTGCGCGATTTGTATCCATCATCAGGCAACAGCCGGCTATATATACACGCCGAACTAGATTCGTAAGTACTCGTATACGTATAGTATACCTATTCATCACCGCGATTCGCCGATTTGCCTTTTTTGCTTTCGGAGGAAGGTAGTTGTCGCCGTACGTAGATCGCAAAGTAAGGACCAGCTAGCGGAGGAGATCGAAGATGGCTAGCTTTCAGGTGGCCGACGCGTCGGAGTATCTGGCCATCACCGGCTGGGGCATCGACGACGTCAAGCTCGCCAAGAAGGCGTGGGTTTTTGTGGGGCATCTCGCCGGTGAACTATGAGTTCGAGGTGCACGCCATGAGCGCCGAGAAGCTGCCCTTCATACTCCCCGCGGTCTTCACCATCGGCCCCAAGATCACAGCTGCCGGGGGCGAGGAGTCGGACAGGAAGGACCTTGAGGCGCAGCTCCTCCTGTACGCCAAGCTCATCGCGCCGCTGCACAGCTCGAGGAGCCACGTCCCGGAGCTCGTCAAGGGGATCATCGAGGGCGAGACCCGCGTGCTCGCCGCGGAGCTCACCATGGAGGAGATCTTCAAGGGCACCAAGACCTTCAAGGAGAAGGTGTTCAACCGGGTGCAGCTGGAGCTCAACCAGTTCGGCCTCATCATCTACAACGCCAACGTGAAGCAGCTGGTGGACGTGCCGGGGCACGAGTACTTCTCCTACCTCGGCCAGAAGACGCAGCAGGACGCGGCGAACCAGGCCAAGGTGGACGTGGCGGAGGCCCGGATGAAGGGAGAGGTGGGAGCCAAGGAGAGGGAGGGGCTGACGCGGCAGAACGCGGCAAAGGTGGACGCCGGGACCAAGGTGCTGTCGGTGCGGCAGCAGGGCCAGGGGCTCAAGGAGGAGGCCAAGGTCAAGGCCGAGGTGCAGGTGTTCGAGAATGAAAGGGCGGCGGAGATCGCCGCGGCCAAGGCCGAGCTTGCCATGAAAAAGGCCGGGTGGGACAAGCAGGCCAAGGTGGCCGAGGTCGAGGCGGCCAAGGCCGTCGCCATCCGCGAGGCCGAGCTCCAGATGGAGGTCGAGCGCAAGAACGCCATGCGCCAGACCGAGAAGCTCAAGGCCGAGCAGCTCAGCAAGGCAACCGTGCACTACGATACACAGGCAAGTAACTAACCTACATGTATACATATAGTATATTACGTAGTCGCATGCATGCATGCATGCATATACAGGTTCCGTTGATTTTTACGTGTGTGTGTTTTATCATTATGACTTGTGCTTGTAGGTTCAAGAATCAAATGCGCAACTCTATAGCAGGCAGAAGGCGGCGGAGGCAAAGCTGTTTGAGCAGATGAGGGTGGCGGAGGCGCGCAAGGCGCAGGCCGACGCGCACTTCTTCGAGCAGAAGATGGCCGAGGACGCCAAGCTCTACGCCAAGCAGAAGGAGGCAGAGTCCGTGGGCTTGGTGGGCAAGGCCAAGACGGAGTACGTGGCGTCCATGCTCCAGGCGCTCGGTGGCAACTACCACGCGCTCAGGGACTACCTCATGATCGACGGCGGCGTGTACGCCGAGATGGCGCGCATCAACGCCGGCGCGGTCAACGGCATGCAGCCCAAGATCAGCATCTGGAGCAACGGCGGTGGCGCGGACGGTGCCGGGAACGCGGCCGGAGAGGCCGCAGCTGGCAGCGCGCTGCAGCAGGTGGCCGGGGTGTACAAGATGCTGCCGCCGCTTCTGTCCACGGTGCACGAGCAGACCGGGACGCTGCCGCCGGCGTGGATGGGTGCACTGCCCAAGGACGATGCTGCTACCAACTGATCGTCCTAGTGCGCGCGTTCGAATTTCGTTTGTTCGGCGTTGTCCCAATATTACTTAGTTTTTTTTCTTTAAATGAATATTACTTAGTTAAGATTGTTATTTCCGACAGACACATTATATATTTCTTGTAGCAGATTTCCTATTCAGAAGTTGCCGAGAACAAATATTACTCTTAGGTCGATCAACTTTACAACTACCATGAACTTTTGAGTTGCACAAAAGGTTGTTTATATGTTTGTGTGTTTTTCTTACTGTACGGTACTGCTAATTATCATTAATCCCCTCCCCCACCCCCCACACATAACTAAGAGCATCTTCAACGGCCGCGCGAAACGACGCGCGCGGTAAATGCAGCCTTTAGCACGTGCGGGGCGTTTTGCCGCGCTCCAGCGGCGGCGGGAAAACCACGCGCGCAGGAACCGCTTGCGCGCGCGTGAAAAGGCGCCAGCTCGCGCGCCATTTTTTGCGCACCGCTTCCAGCACGCTTATAAAGTGCGGCGCGCGCCACGTGCCTCTTCACGCCTCCTCTTCTTCTCTTCCTCTCTCTCTCTCTGCCACGCGCCGCTCCAGCGTCCCGCCACCGACGCGCCGCCATGCCGCAGCGCCGCCGAGCAGTGTCCGGCTACCGCGGCGTCCGCCTGCGCCCCAACGGCGGCTACTACACGGAGATACGCTCCGGCGATCTCCGACTCGGCCTCGGCACGTACGGGACGGCGCGCGAGGCCGGCCGCGCGTACGACACGGCGGCGTGGCATCTAGGCCGGCCGCGCGGCCAGATGAACTTCCAGGATGTCTACACGCTCCAGCAAGCGCTCGACCGTGCCCCGCCGCCGCGTTTGAACACGCCACAAGACCGTGCGGAGCACGCCGAGCGGCAGCGCCACCTCCTCGTCGCCCAGGAGGACGAGCGGGTCATGGCGGAGTGGCGCCACCGCCACCCGGAGGACGTCGCCTACGAGCAGGCCTACTGGGCAAGGCGTCGCGAGGAGGACACGCGAAGGCGCCGCGAGGCGCGGTTGGACAGGCGTCGGCGCAAGGCGTTGGCGAACGCGCAGTCCGATCTCGTTGCAGCAGTTGGGCAGTCGTTCTTCACGCCAAACGATGATCGGTGGTTAAACATCTGGCCGGATACCTCGGACGACACCGCCGAGGAGGATAATGGTGATGATAGTGATGATAGCGACTTAGAGTAGTTTTTATGCAATCTATCTCGTTTTTTATCATTTGTCGTTTTTAATTATTATGCAATCTATGTTTCGGATGTAAAATACCTTTGTATAAATATATGCAATCTATCTATTTTCCAATGCCAACATTTAGTCTAGAATAAGCGCGCGCTGCTTTTTTTGCGCGCTGCATTTTAGCGCGGCTGCTGGAGCGGGCGCAGCGCGCCGCGCCAAACCAGTCGATGCGCGCGCTGCATATGTGTTTTTTGCGCGCGGCGCGACCGGCGCCTGTTGGAGATGCTCTAAGGGCATCTCTTGTCGAAGCCCAAAACTTAACACCCAAAAAACCGTGAGTTTTTTTTTGAGAAAATTTTCAATCTATTCATCTTCAATCATATGGCAGTACAACGAATACCAGAAATAACAGAAGTTACATCCTGATCCGTAGACCACCTAACGACGACTACAAGCACTAAAGCAAGCCCAAGGCGCGCCGCCGTCATCACCCCTCCATCGCCGGAGTCGGGCACAACTTGTTGTAGTAGATAGTCGGAAAGTCATGCTGTCAGGCCCCGTAGGACCAGCGCACCAGAACAACAACAACCGCAGATGAAGAATAACGTATATCAGAAAGATCCAATCCAAAGACACACGAACGTAGACGAACAACGACGAGATCCGAGCAAATCCACCAAAGATAGATCCGTCGGAGCCACACCTCCACACGCCCACCAACGGTGCTAGACGCACTACCGGAACAGGGGCTAGGCGGGGAGACTTTTATTCCATCTTCAGGGAGCCGTCGTCGTCTCGTCTTCCTGAGCAGGACACAAACCATAACAAAACTGAAAGAAATGACTAAAAGCGGAGCCCTCCTACCGGCCCTTGCCGAGATCCACCGCGCCCCATGGCCCTAGGGCCACCGGAGAGGAGGCGGACCTGCGGCAGTGCCGGCGGGAGGCAAAAACCATAGCTTTTTTGGAGGAGGAGGAGGCGGCGGCTAGAAAGACTTCCATCTATATCGTTAGGGTTTCGCTCGTTATATAACAACCCAAATCGATAAGAGACTACATTCTAACCGATACCCAAAGCTTAATTCCAATTAAACTACTTTCCAATGCCGTGTTAATTCAAACCTTGGTGTAAACAATGCACCTTTTTTTATAAAAATGTGCAGTTCCCTCGACATTCCGGAACCTCGCCCGAAAAGGTTCAACCTCATATTTATTCCTTCTCCTTACTCAACTATTCTGGCAAGGCCATGTTGAAGTCATTTTCGTCTTCCTCCTCCTCGGGTGATAATAAAAAATGCTAGATGCACGGGATTACTACGAGCATTCACCGGACCCTCCCAACTAATCAAACTGGCCCCCTCTTGATTTTCAGCTGGGTGGGGCCCATCCCTCCCCATTAATCCAATCATGATTTGCTACTTCAAACCTACCCTGTAATAAGCCCGTGAAGGTCCGTTGATGTAGCATTTCTTGGCGATTATTCACCGAATAACTCTTGAAC